CTCTAGTTTCCTTGACTTTTGGCAATAGCCAATCCAGTTTCTTTTTAATATACTTACTACTTTATTGTCATTTTGTCACTTTTCTTTTAATATAGATTTTTTAAGTTTATGCATCTTTTTTTAATTCATGTCCTTGACATTAATACAAGTTTTTAGAAGATTATTTAAGACAAGTATATTTATATGTTTGCAAAGTTTGTAAGCAAAATATAATCAAGGCAATGAGAAATAAAATACTAAGGCAAAAGAAGTCCAAAAAGATTATAAGTTAAAGACAACAAAGTTGAGGGGTCATAACTTAATGTTTATGAAAGTTATGATTATGAAACTTAGAATATAGTTATTTTTTTAAGTCAAAAATCTATTCATTAAGTCTCAATATATTTTAAAGTTTGATTTAAGAGATATGTTTAAAAGAATATTTGGAAGTAGAATTGTAAAGAAAAAGTCGTAATCAAAAAATTAACTTATATGATTTTCTTATTATAAATGATTTAAGTCATTAATTACTTTGAAATATAGAATATAAAGAAAGAATAAAATATATAATTTATTTCAAAAAAATTCAAATTATTCTATTAATTTTATATTAAGTTATAGAAGTCCAAAATAATATATATTAGATTAGGTTCAAGTAAAAAATTGGATAATAACTTAGTACAAAACTAATGCAAATAAGCATTTGATTGATAACTTAGTACAAAAAAATGTAAAGAAGAAGATAGAAACTATTTAAGATACACATAAGCAACAAAGATCTCTACAACAAGAAGCTTTGTGCTTTCCTAGACCAAGAATAAACTTCTCAACAATATTGCTTTGTTTTTGTTTTTTAAAGTAATTATCTAAAATTAAGTAAATTAAATAATAATTTAAAATTAATTAAAAATAGAATAAAGATGAATCTTAATATCTAATTAAATTTTTTAAATTTTTTTAAATTTTAATAAAACTTCTTTAAAAAAAATTAAATTAAAAAAATTAAATTTATCAAATTTTGAATTTTTTTTGAATTTTTTTTTCTTTTAGAACTTTCAATAAAATTTAAGTTAAAATTTTAAAAATCTAAATAATTATAATTTTTTTTGATAAAGTAAAAAAAAAAAAAAAAAAAAAAAAAAAAAAAAAACTTTATTTTAAAACTTTTCTAAAGTCTATAGATTTAATTTAGTTTGTTGATGCAAACTTTGAAATTCTATAAACATACAAAGTTCCTTAAGTTCTTCTATAAAATTTTTCAAAAGTTAGTGTTAAGTATAAAAATTCTATTGTTTTTGATGTTTGTTTTTAGCAGTTATTAGCATTGCCTATAATTAACATACATGCTCTCAAGAATTTCACATAGACATTCTTGTTATTTCCAATGAGAATTTTTACTTGTTGCCAATAAACTATGCGTGCTAATTCAAAGACTCTAAGAGCTCTACTATAACTTTAGCAAATATGATAGCATGGATTCAACTTCTTATAATTATAAAATTCTTTTCACAAATCTCATATTTTTTAAAGAATACAAAATATTTTAACGGCATTAGAATTTGAAGTTCTTTCAAATTAATTTACAATAAATAAAATTCTTTCAAGGTAATCAAAACACCATGTCTTGCAAACAATCTCACTTAATCTACTATACTTTCAATTGATAGCCTAGAGTACTAAGTTTTCATAATATGTCAAAACATATGAGAAAATATATTACTAAGATAAAAATTTAATGATGTAAATACAAATGAACTTATTATCTAATCAAAGATGATTTAAGAAAACTTACTACATGAAATAAGCCTCATTTTTGGGCTTTTATGGCATAAGTCTATGGTTTCATAACAAGAACTTGCTTATGCAAATATAATAACAACTAGCTTATCATCAAGATCTATTTGACTTAGAAATAGTAGTCTTATTATGTCATTTGTAACTATATGGTTGTGAGTCCTACCAATAGATTTTAACTAGTAGATTGATTAAAAATATAGTTTTAAATTATGTAGATATAAAAATATTAAGATTAAAAAATATGTATTTAAATATTTAATTTTTTATTATAATTTATAAGTTTTTATAAGTTGAAAAAGTCTTATTAGAGAAAATTCACTAAAATGGAGTTTTAGTAAGTCTTTGAGATAAATATCTTAGTTGATTTAGTACTTTTACTTATTATTAAATACTAATATTTATTTACTAAGATCAATATCTATATTAGTCTATTTTTTATATCTATTACTTATAAAAAAACCTATAATTTATAATTATTAATTAAAAATGGATAAAAAAAACTTCATAATATTTTAATTACTTATATAAAAAAATAAGATATTTGGTTGATCTAAATTAATTATACTACTATAAAAAAATCTTAAAATAGAAAAAATTATAACCAATTTATATTAGAATTATAAAGAAATTATAAAAATAATTAAAAATTATTTAGAATTTATTTAGAATAATTTATAAATTTTTAGATCAATTCTTAATACTTTGGTAAAATAGTTTTTATTATTTTGGGAGGCTATTATAAAAAAATGGAGCAAGATTTAGAGGCCAAATATCATTTTGGACCAATTGAATATTTTTAAATCTTGTTATGAAGTTAAAAATGTAAAAATATTGATTTTATTAGTAAAAAATAGGAAAATCAGTAGACAATATAATCCTTATAAGAAGGAAGATATAAAAGTTCCATATGAATTATAGCACCTTGGATGTAAGTAGAAGGATAAGAATAAGGCATTGTGGCCTCTCTAAGACACCATTTTATCCTATTTTTAAACCTTAGTGAAGCTCAAGTCTTTAATTTTTTAAGCAAGTGAAATTTAAAATAAAAATTATTTATTTAATTTATTAATTATATACTTTTTATCTTTGAACCTTCACAATTAATTCATAGTACATTAAATTTATATTTTTCTTATATCATTTAAAATATAATAAAATTTAATATCTATTTTTTTAATTTTTTTAATTTTTTTACTTTTTACTAGATAAAAATCTAGTAAATATATTATAAGTAATTTTATACTTTGTGATTTTTTAATTAAAATTCTTTTATTTTTTTTCATTATTTGTATAAATATTTTTTATTTTCTTCTTCTACTTTATATGACTAATTACAAACAGCTCTTAATTAAGGCCATCTTATAATTTGAATTAAATTATAAATTTTATCCTTACAATGGTAGTACTACCAATTTATGACAGCTATAAATTATCAACCTATAGTAGCACAATATCATTTGTCTATATATTAGTCAAACACATAATATCTAATAAAAGTTATTTATGCATCTAAATATTCTTTAAATAAATGATAACTTTATATTATGTTGATTTTTATATTTTATATTTAAAAAATAGATAGATAGATAGATAGATAGATAGATAGATAGATGGATAGATATATACATATCTTTATTGCTTCAAAGATTATTATTGTAATTATGCTGTAATAAAATTTTAATTAAAAAATTATATTTTTATGATTTTTAATAATAATTTTTTTTATATCTTATATACTTTGAAATAGTTTCTAAAACAATATAATTTAAATTAAAAATTTAACTTTATATATATATATATATATATATATATATATATATATATATTTAATTCTTTAGATTATAGATGTTAATAAAATCCATTCATTTCATATCACTAGTTTAAAATAAAAAAATAATTAAGAAAAAAATCTATTATTAAATATATTTTATTATTTGAGCCACTATTTTTATTATTTGTTCATTATTAGTTTTCATTTTTGCATCATAGAATACTCACTTTTTCGTTTTAAATATTAAATCTTAGATTCGTGTTTTATTTTTTAAGACATCTGAAGTATTGCACTAACACTTAATCTATATTAATTTTCTAAAAAGCTTTTGCAAAGTATGATAGGATTATATTATTTTTTGCATAATGTAAACAAAAACAGTAGTGCAAGAAATGGTGTTATATAGTAATATCTATGTATGTATATATATTCATATAAAAATATATACATATAAATATAAATATATATATATTAACATGTGTATGTTTATAATAGATTATGAATAAATTTGGTGATTGATTTTTGTCTAATTAGAAATTTTTCATATAAATTTTTATATAAATTACACAACAGAATGAAATTTTGTAGCAAAAAGATCCAAGTTAGATTGTATTCATATATTTGTCAAAGTATTTGCAAGTCTAATTTATTTTGAAGTTGGAATGATGCTAAAAGTAAATAGAACATAAAATTTCTGCTGTATCTTCATTAAGTCTATAATCAATATTCACCTTGAAAATGTTATTGCTTAAAGTTCAAAAAATATTGCATAAAACTTAAAGTCAAAGTTGATTCACTCTTAATTTTAAAAGCTTATTATTACAATGAACAAGCACAACCACCTTTGTTAAGATCTACCCACAGAATCTTAGTATGAAAAGAACTAAATAATATTGTTGACTAACATAATGTAACTTTATTTCACAATAGTCACATACATCAATGTTCAAACCACTATACAAACACAAGGTATGTAACACCAGAAAACCCGAAGTAACCACTACCAAAAATACATATTAATATGTATACATGTTTGCACGGAACAATACAACCCAAGCCAAGCAAGAGCATCACAGACCCCACCCAAATTCCTCCAAAGTACATTTTTATTTCCTTGGAATCGTGCCTTCAATGCGTTACAAAATCAACACCACTAAAAATTAATCCACGTGCGTCGTGGTGGGAAGTTCTGAATCCCACCCTCCCCTTCCTTGTGTGTCACGAGCTATTCTTCGAAAATTTAATACAAAATTGAATGGAGAAACTTTCTATTCAGTTGCACCTTCCTCATGGACATGAATAAAAAGGAAAAGTGTCATGTGGGCCCGGTAGCATGGGTCCCGTCCTCTCCTTCCCTGGAGAGTCCGGCTTCTGCTGCAGCCTTGCAATCCACGTGCAAATTTCGATGCGCCGGTTTCTATGTCGGATTATCAGTGGCGGGTCCCTTCAATTGCCAATTCTCTCCGGGGAGTGAGAATGAGAGACACACACTCATGCTTGTGCGATGCTTTCCATTCCTACTAGAATCACCGTGTGCTCACAGGTTGCAGCGACGTCCCTTCGGCTGCTGGTCGTAAGCTTCGTCCCGCCTCTCTTGACGCCGTGATTGCATGTGCAGTGCACGCCATTGTGATCGAGTTTGTGGAGTGGGATCACATCGCCGGCTCCCTAGGACCCGTGACGAGATACACCCAATTTTGGAGTGTTTGAGAGCTGCATTGGCTTGCGGGCGAACATCGGGGCGTTTTGTTGCTCTTAGTTTTGTTGGTAAAGTTCTGAGAGGTTGCGGACAGGGTTCGGTTGAGGGGTTGAGTTAGGCTGCGGATATTTACCTTGGGTTGAACTTGGAGAACGCAGTCGTGGTTTTGCAAGTGGAAGGGAAGGGGAGTCTGGAGGAGTGAATTGAAAGGTGATGGCAATCTTTTGATGAGGTTTGTTTGAGGGGTTTGAGTGCAAGGGCCGGGGACCTTTTCATGACGCGCTGCAGCGTGGGAAAGAAGGCGCAGGAGCTTCAGTGCAAGGCAGGGATATACTAGAATAAAAGGTAGCTACACATGTAGTGAATGAGTGAATCTTGGAAGAAGTGCGAGGAGGTTAGTGTGGAGGTTATGTGCCAGGAGCGATTGTAGCTTGTCCGTAGCGTGTTGATATTGACGAGAGAGAGAGAGAGAGAGAGAGAGAGAGAGATAGCGTTGATTTACAACGTACGTGCCACTCGATGGCGTGAGAGCCAGTGGCGATTGACTTCATTATCCTTGGATGGGTGAGTAAGGAGTTGGTGGTCGTTTTGGAGAAAGTTTAATTGAGCATGACGAGCGTGGTGACCGAGGTCGTTTCGTGAAGACCTTTAGCAGCCTGCCAGACGATCTTGAAAATGTGCAATCCTTGTCGAAGATACTACCCGGCCATCGAGGCTCCAGTTGTTTCACTCAACCTGGTGCGGTTATCTCTTTTCATTGTATTCTCGTGTGTGATGAAAGCTTTGATTCCGAATTTTACTTTTGCACCAGGAGCTGCGAGGTTTTAGAGATGCACAACCTTGAGATCACCATATCTAACTGTTTGATATAGTTTAGCTCCATACCCATATCCTCGTACACGGATGATCTTGACACCACTGCATATGCATTTGATTTGGGCAGCCAAAGATCAGTGCAATTGAACTACTCATGACTGAACTTTAGGGTGTGCCTGGACGCTAATCATGTTCTGTACTGATCAATGTACCAGCCACACAACACAACGAGCTGCCATGGTTAGAGTTCTGAGAAGCAACTTCATTTCACAAGGGCTGATTTTCTGATGTTTTTCTGTGCAGGTCTCAACCGGCCATCATGGGTGAACGATCACATAGCAGCAGGTGGACGTCAAGCAGATCTTCGAAACGAGGACAACTCTGGCGTGTCTATTAAAACATCTGTTAAGAAGGACATCGTTTATGATTGCCACTCGGCTAATTCTGTCTCATCGGGACTGTTCTGCTTCTGCAAGCTCTTCATATCATACTGTAAGTGCCAACGTTTTTTCATCGTAGTTTAGGGTATCAGCGATATTAATTGCTCTTTCTTTGAGTTACTAGCATTGCAGCAAAGTGTCAACACTTGCATTGGTATACGGCGATGACTCAGTGCTCATGTGTTTTGGATGTCAAGCAGAAGAGTTTTTTGAGTCGATTTGAATTAGACATTTCTCAGCAACGTACTTGGAAGGCGGGGTCCGAGTATGATGGTCACCAACAGGCATTGCGAAATATCCCAATAAGGGCGTCTTTGTTGAAAGGTGAAGCACAGACTACAAGTGTCCATCAAACCAATCTTTCAGGCAATAAACCCTTTCCGATTTTGCATCAGTACTCTTCTTCAAACCACAGTGCAGGATTTGGATCTCGAGAGCCCCTGTGCAGCGTAATGAAGAACAGTTATGGCGTCAAATTTAGATCCCTCCAAGTTAGTGAGAATCTGCCACACCAGCAAAATTTGCAACATCCAACCCATGATGCAAACATGGCGGCAGCTGATGCCCTTGCAACGTAAGGAACTTGGTCGCCTTGTTGCTGCTTTCTACTACTTACATCAAGACCATGTCAGTATACATTCCTTTTCTACCTTTGTCTCGTTGGGTACCAATACACAAAGTTATAGTGATCACTTTCTGACGTTCCAGAACACCTGCAACAAGAAGGCTTCCACTCGCAGCGCAGCTCACTATCTTCTACGCAGACATGGTCAATGTCTATGAGGATGTACCGTATGACAAGGTGAGCTATTATTTTTCCACTGCTCGGCTCTGCTTTCACAACGTTTCATAGGCCCTTACATTTTTTATGTACGAGATTGGCAAAAATTATTTTTATTTTTATTTTGATTGGATTGTACATTTTACTGATCAATAATTGCGATTGAATATGTCTTCTTCTTGCAGGCTCAAGCTATCATGCTTCTAGCTAGTAGAGAGAGTCACTCTAATTATTTGAACCCTCTCGTAAGTTATGGTGCTTCGGCACACCCTGGGGTTTGTAGCTTCGGTGCAATGAGCCAGCCCAGGCTCAGGACCAGCTCTCCTGCCCCATCGGCTTGTGCTGGGCGCCCACCACCAGGAGATATTCCCATTGCAATCCGGCGAACACCAACTCGAACAAGTGCGATCAGTTCCCTTGTTCTGTTTTCACAGTTTTTTGTTACAGGATTTGGGCTTTCAGAATTTAAATTGTTAAAGTGAATTGAGAGGTTTTATACTCATATTTTGACATTTTGTTTTATTCATGTAATGCAGTTGAACTCCCTCAAGCAAGAAAAGCATCTTTAGCTCGATTTCTGGAAAGGAGAAGAGATAGGTGTGAAAGTTATCATCACAGCAGCTGCTTAGATCAATTTAATCTTCAGTCTCGCAATATATTTCGTTGAAATCACCTCTAAGTCGTACACAATTTCTGACATTGCTGCTTTGCTTTGACATATTCTTAGAGCACGCACACGACCCTATGCACAGAGAAATGAAGCGTTAAGAAGAATCCGTGATGCATCGCCTAGCCCGTCCTTGAGCACTGGCAGACCACCAGCACGTCCGCTCTCTCCTCCAGCAACAGAAAATAAGAACGGTGAATCGTCAAATGCTAGTGGGGCTTCAACGACTGACAATGAAGCGAACTCTCCACCACCTATTCAACCAAGTCAAAGCATGTCAGAAGACAATCAAATGCCGAGGATTACGCAAACTCCCAATGTGTTGCCATCACCGATTGCAGTATTATCGGAATGCGAGGCTGTTGTCAGATGACCAGAAGAAATAGGTCAGGATTATACAAGAGACAAAGGCCAATTATTTTTTTGCTTTGTAGTTCCTTTGCACAGATGCTGTAAACATCAAACAGCACTATTCTGGTCTCTATTTTCTGTATGCTGGCCATCCAAAACGATCGCCGAGTGGGGATTTATGACGTGTTTCTGACCTGAAATTGTTAATGGTTAAGGTTGCTCCTGTGTAGTAATGAGTCATAGCTGCTGCCATGCTTGAGGTATGTCATTCTTACCGTGAAGAGACAAATTGCACTGAAATGAATACGCATTGGAGAGCACAAAAGAAACAGATGGATAAAACAACGTGAGAGATGTTCCTACAGTAAATCTGAGAACTGATGACAACTTGGTAATCGTGATTTTCAAATGCCCCCGATTCTCCAAACCATCTATTCGACCGACTAAATTAGGCCAAATTGCGATGCCATGCATGCTACCACGTGTCTTCCGCCTTTTTTATATCATTCACGTGGCCTTTTACGAAGCCCAACGTGCTGCTAGAACTCGGCGACCCTTGACGGCGCATGTGCTCAAACCACACCCTTCGACAGCTGGCAACGCATGCGACACGTGGCCCATGGTGTACACGTGATCATGGCGGGATCCGTTTATTATGACGTGGACAAACGTAGGGTGTGACAATCTCCCATTCTGAGTTCACACGCGGCAATTATCGCACTTGCCATGAAAGCTTGGTTGAAGGCGATGTCTTGTGGCGGTGTGGACACATTTGGAAGGTGCATGAAAAGTCTGATATCAATAATAATATTGAATAGTTATCGTCTTCCATGCAAATTTCCCTGACAAAGTTAAGTTGCATGCGTAATGCAGTGATGGAAAGTTTAAACGGAAACAAAGAATCAGCTGAATCACATCCTTTCTTTAATTTTAACTAACAGGGCTATTTTAACACTATGATCATGCAGTGAAGAATTGACTGAGACTCTCATCAGCCAAGATTATTACAGATATCCCAATGCATGAAAGTAAGCTTGAGATGGGTGATCAAGGAGCACAACAACCAGCGGCTTTCGAAGATGATGATGAGTTGCGGATTATAACTATAAATACTTTCTCGAATGCCATTAGAATGAGCAATTGATGTGGGCAGTAGCATCAAGTAATTTTAGCTCCTGCTGAAGACCATGGAAGCAACCTTAGTCATTCTTCGAATCAAAAGAGAAGTCATACAAGGCATTGCGTGAAGTTCTTAGTTTTGAAGACCATGGTCCAAGCAAGGCCTCTGAAGGCCTAGCCACACTGATGTATCCGACACAGCAGAATGACAGCCTCCTGGCACCCTTTGATACAAAGAAACAGTAAGTAATTGTGTCATAGGAATGAGTACAAAGCAGCGTGAATAGTGATGCGAAATTGCAGAATCCAAGTTTTGGTAGCAACCACCTGTGGTTCTTGCTGCTTGTGCCGAGTCATGTTTCCAGCACTGTGCTCAGTGTGACCGGTTCATTGTGGCATGGCAACGAAGCTTTGAGTTCTATTTCGAGGAGGGACAGCCGTGACATCGCTTCTGACACATGTTCTTTAATTTTTACGATCACTCGTCGCAAATTCTTCCTTGGTGTGAAGTGCTCCAGCAGCTGTGTCCGATGTGAACATGCCATGGTGTTCAATGCTGCAAACCATCTCGAGGCTCAACGAAGCGCGAATTAACGGGTGTTCCAGGGATTCTATTAGCCTAGCTGAAACAGATGGAATAGTCCTTTAGAATTAAATTTTTTGGATGCAAGATGGATTACAAGAAACTATCTATGCAGTGATGCACCGTTGTCCATGGCATGATCAGCCATGCTTTCACCAGCAAGCCTGCCCAGTGACTTCCCGCTCCGAGTTCGCTTGTTCGATTCGTTGTCCAATCTGAAGTCTCTCCTTTTCGATGTCCTATCACTCCTCTACTCGGCCACACCTTGGCTTGGGGGTGACTGCGGAGGTCTAGAATTACACGGAGAGTTCTGTTCATTGCCACTAGATGTGCCTGATTGATGCTCAAGACGACCAGGAGATGATCCATGGTCCATGCACCTAGAGACCGAAGGAGATGGTGAGGGCGACCATGTTGGTGGTTTCCCAATTGAAGGATCTGGAGAGTTGCCAAAAGGAGTTGCATCTCCTTCCTTGACGGGATCTTTCTTTACCCTGTCTTTTCTCTTCTCAAGAAATCGAGCCAATGAGGCTTTCCTTGCTTGGGGCAGCTCAACTGCTCATCGCACAGATCGCTAATTATGAAGACAAACTCAAATTGTCATCAAACGAAAATATGTATGAAATCAAGAAGCATCTGTTAAACAAAGAAACGGGCCAGAATTGTACCATTGGTTGTGGATGGTTGTCGGAGGTTTGAAAATACCATTCCAGGTAATACAGAACTCGGCGGCCCCGAAGCTGAAGTGGTTAGAGCTTGCGGAGCAGGTGGTCCTGGTGTAGAGAGAGGCACTGTGGTTGGAGCAGAAAATGTCCGTCCAGAAGCGACACTTCCAGCCTGGGGAGGGTCCATTAAGTTTGAAGACCACGTGCTTTCACTACCCGCAAAGAGCATGATAGCTTGAGCCTGCCAAAATAATATCCCACAAAGCTACTACATTACGCGTATGCAAAAATCGATTCCTGATAATATTCTTCTATAATTCCTTGGCTGGGTAAAAAGGTAATGAGAAAAAAGTCGCACCTTATCAACAGGCACATCATCGTAGAGGTTAACCATGCCGGCATAGAAAATGGTAAGCTGTGCCGTGCGAGGTTGCTTACAAGGTCCACCAGGTCTGTCACGGTTACATGTTACTTCATGATAGCAGAGCACAACTTGAACCTGAACTAGCATGGAGTAATAGAAGAATACTATGATTTTCCAATGAATACCTTGGTAGGTTTCCTGCTTGGAATGGATATTGAAAAGGTGGCTTCTTCCGAGCCACAGCAGCTCCACTCTCTACACTCCCCAGTCTATGTCCGCCAAATGGCATTGGGGACTCGAATCTGCCTTGGTTTGAAGACAGGTGCGGCTGCATCGCATGGTCCAACGGTTGAGCACCCCGCTGTACTTCATCTTTAAGCGGCGAGGTCCATGCATCTCCGTTCTGAATACCTCTCAACAAATGATGATGGCTAGCGTACATGGCCGCCACCTTCTGAGATTGCTGCATTCACAGAAACACATTATACTACTTTACGAAGCTCGCCTGCAATGGTAACACAAGGATAATTGAGCGATTTTTCATTGGATCAAAATCACACAGATTCATAGGAGTAACGATGCAAGCACAAATCATTGGCAGTGCAACACCGACTTACAGGATGGTGGGTATGGCTTTTAGATTCTGAATTATTCCACTGTGAGGAGGACTGCGGATGATCATTCAGATGGCCATCTGTCGATTCTCTCTCCTTATTAGGACAGATGATAACCCTTCTGGAATTATCCTCCTCTGACTGAAATCTTGCCAGAAAGGAAGCTCTTTTCCAGGACTTCTGGTCTGGGTCTGTTCAAAACAACACAAATAACTCAATAAATGGTTCGAAATGTGGAGTAATGTCCCCTAATTGGATAACTTCTATACATCGAAATCCCTTCGCTACCAAACCTTTTCCGCATTATCATTGCCAGATTGTAGTACCGTGGTCTAAACAACACCTCTACATCCAGCAACATGTGTCCACGGTGCAACATGATCCACCGCTATGAGACAAGCATCGCGATTACTTCACTACTTCAACCAAATGCTGAAGCAATAGCCACCACCTTCGAGACAGACGTATGATTGGTTCGAATAAAACGAAGAAGGCTGTAATGAACGCCAACGGCATCAGAACAGACATCAGAAGATACCTAACAGCTCACGCTTGCACACACTCCCAATGAGCCGGTGCCTTAATCAATTCCAACGTGAAGGTCCTTCATCCCCCCAACGTACCCAAACATTCGAATCCGCTCATAACGAAGCCCGAGTGTGACAGGTTTAAAATATTAAAAAAACAAAACAAAACAAAACAAAACAGACGCGGAGGAAGAAGTAGCAAAGGACGAGAAATCACCATGCTGCTCAAATGGGCTACTGTGAGGACCGCCTTCAGGGGCAGGCGATCTCCTAAAGTGGCCACCACCATTGTTAGGAACACTAGGAATGGGCCTTACAAGACTTACTCGCTCTTCATGTCCACCAGAGATACTCGAGGGAGCACCTCCCACCCCCATGTAGTCTACAGCAACTGGCTCCCTAGCCATAGCTCTCCAATCAACCATGTATCCCTCCGTTCACTGCAATTGTCACCCCAACACCACCAAATGATTCTGCTCCCTCACCCTACCGATCATGCGCTTGTTTCCTACTGATAAATCCCCACGTTTACTCCTCCTCCATGCCCCGCCTCGCCACCGTCTTCACCACGTCGACTCAAGGGTTCCTCACCGCCGCTGCACCACGTCATGAAGGAAGGAAGAGCACCCCTTCCACTACACCACACTCTCAAAAAACACACAGAATTGAAAGAAGAGCCTTTCACCCACGAAGCTTTGAGTCCAATGCTACTATCCCAGCTGCCAAACCCAAACAAAACCCAGATTTGTCTTGGCAAGCTCCAAACCTGCGGGGCATACGTGCTGCTGAGGGCGAAACTCAACGTGAACAAGCGGCCGAAGCAAAAAAAAGCACCTTACAGCGAGCGAAGACGATGGGCATGCTCCTCCAAGATTGGGTATGCAAAGGGACTGAGACCATGAGACAAAAAGGACCTGTCTTTCTGTCTTTCGTCTATCCTATCCTGTAAGCTTTGTCTGGAGCTTGTTGAGAGATAATGTCCTGATGAGAGACAACGTTGATGAATGCGGTGAATGTTCGAAGTGGGTCGCACTCTTGTTTTTGTTCTGCAACAACTCCACTGCTGAACCTCGATCTATTCAGATGATCACGATGCCCGTGTATAGCGGGGCTGGTCTGGTCATGAGATGAAAACGGGGACGGCACGGACTGGTACATGACGACAGGGAGAGCAAGCAAGGAAGAAGGAGAAGAAAATATAATTGAATAAAATAGCGCACGTGCTTTTCATGGGTGAAACTAGCCAATCCCACCGCCCCTTTATCCGAGCAACTCCACCGGACCTCTTAAAAACACCAAAACCTGAATTACGGAAAAGCCGAACCAGAAATTGGCGTGGCCTCTTGCCCCACCCATGTCTAGCCCACTTCAAAATAGGTTCAAGGCCTGCGAGATGTAGGCTTGGACACACCAACTTTTTGCCTGATAAGATTAGGGCTTTTCTCCAAATAAACCCTAGTTTCCCAAGAATAAGCTTAGCAAGATGCCCTAAAGTAAGGCACCAACAATAATAATCCTCCACACAATTGAGGGAGGCATTGCATGATACGATCCATGCAAAGGAATATTAATCTATAGTCACAGTAGGCACATTGGAGTATGTACATTGAATTCACCATTGTCAAGGAGTTGTAGACTACTTGAAAATCTTCTATGGAGAGGAAGATCAATCTTGCCTCAAATCTATGAGATGAGAGCATTGATCAAGTTGTATCAATATGGTGCTTATTGTGTGAACAATGAATGTGGACAATGAATGTAAAAACATTTTCAAATTCTCGTATGTGCAAACAACATCATGATGTATATAAAGTCATTGTATGCCAAAGCATAGGTATGATACAACACCCTTGCATATGCCTCAAAGAAGTAGTTCTTTGACTAAGTGAATTTCAAAAATATCCTTATAGTTCATTTTGAGACTAAAAAAGTACTCTTGTTTACAATCAATCAAGATATTATGGATGTAATTATTGGTGATATATTACTTAATGCGGATGATGAAGAATTTGCATCAACTCATGAACGTGCATTATCAATTTTTGAGTAGTTTGAAGATGCAAATAATGATCAAATTGAGCTTAGTAGAGAAAAAAATCTGAGTTGTAAAGTATACAAGATGGAGATCACAAAGATTGTATTGCATATAGGTTGCTTCAATAGATGTAGTAACAATTGTACAATTTTATTTGTAAGAGTAGTTTATGCTATGAGTTTTCAGAAAATAATCAAATTCTTTTACATATAGTAGATATTTTTGCTTGTTCTTGATATTGGCTCAAAACAAGGTGCTTCTTGCTTTGACTTTCTTGCTTGAGATTCAAGCATCAATAAAAGTTGCACATCCTCTATTTTTTTGCAATTCCATTTTTTAATTGCAAGATAGCCAAAGTAATATTTGTAATAAGTGTAAAACTTTTGGATGTTATTATTCCAAAATGGAAGACACAAGTAGTTGGAATTAGCAAGGATTGCAAGTAGATAATGATTGGACAAATTTTTAGCATCACAACAAGAAGATGGATTATACATGCTTGAAATTTATAGATATATGGTGGTCATCCATAAAAAAATTGAGTAGAATTTATTGTAAGGAGGTGTTGTGATTTACAAGTACCTTGCACCAAAGCTATTCATACATATCTTTCTGTCACGAACATACATATTTATCTTGATAATTATGTAGATAATAAGAATATGTAGAAGTAAGTCAAAGTAGATAAATATAATAATATCTTGTGGAAAGCTTCTTAGAAGCTTCATAGATGTTCTTTTGATTTTATACATGTTTATAGGTAATTGATATGTTGAAAACTTGACCAACAAGGAAGCCATATGTCGACATGTTAACTACTTATAGTACAAGTTGGACATATGGCACACACCTATGAAACTTGCTTTACAAATTAGACATATATTCTACAAGTTAGACGCGTATTAGAGGTCTTATAGCATGTTGCCACATAGTTCTTAATTAAGTAGTATATATAGAGGCAAGAGTGAGGCCTTCCTTGCTCTTGTCAATTCCTTTCTTGCTTTTAGTCTAATTTCAAGAGTCTTATGTTTTCTAGTCTTTGATAATAGCCATTCCAATTCTTCCTTGAATATACATACTTTCTTCTATTTTGTCACTTTCTTTTTGATATAGATTCCACAAGTTTATGTATCTTCTTCAAGTTTATATCCTTGACAAATTGATAAGAGTATACATACAATATCAAAGCTTTATCTTTTCTTGATTAAGAGTGGATTACCTCTTTTTCTTGATAAGACAGAAGCATATTAGAAGTTGTAGATTACTCTCTTTTAAATTGATATTATTTCTTGAATTTTTTTTTTCTTAATTCTTAAGTATTATATTCTATGAGAATAGACACCTTTCTATTTATTGTACTAGCATGGCATAGCTTGCTAAAATAAAGAGTGCGATGGCTCAAATGCAAAAGCAAATGAGAAAATTAATGCTTACAATACATCAACTCAATCTACTACTATAAAGAACAACATGATTATTAGGCAATGAAGATATAGAGATGATTGGAGTTCCTTCAATATCTACACTAAGCCAAACTACTGTTCCAACAATAGAATATTGTTTAAATTTCAAGGAATGAAAAATTTAATTATCTGAGAAGTTTGATGGTACAAGATCTAAATTTCAAGGATTCATCAATCAGGTACAATTAGTGAACTAATACCTCAAAGTTATCCAACTCAAGGATTACAAATCAGGTTTATTGTAATACTACTTTCAAATTCTGCTTTATTATGGTTTTCATCATTTTTTGAACAACGTGATCCAATATTGGATAATTTAGAATCATTCTTAGTAGAATTTTGATCTATGTATGGAGAACATAATGCAATCCATGTTCTAACCAATAAGATTTGTATCTTGCGATAAAGCAATCAATCAGTGACATTGTATGCTTCACAATTTCAATAATTAGTGATAGATATAAAGTAGAATGATGCAACACTCATTAGCCAATTTCTCTGCACATTATAATATGAAGTAAAGAAATTGATGCTCAATTTACCTGATTCTTAGACATTGAGTCAAGCAATTGACTTTACTGTAAAATATAACAATCGACTTTTTGAGTTTTAATCTCAGAATCATAGAAGAAAACCTCAATGTTAATACAATTCAATGACAACACCAACAACTTTTCAATCTAAAAATTTGGAAGTAGAAGACATGCAAATTGATGCAGTACGTTTTAAACCTCTTATCAAACAAGAAAAGACTCGTCGTTGTCAAGAAGGACTATATTTATATTGTGGAGAAGTTAAGCATACTACTCAATATTATCCAAAGAAACGACGTAAATACAAAATGAGGAGTACTAATGTCAAAGATGAAAACATGTCAAAAAATAAATTTGTCTACTTACAATAGGGACCCTACGGCTAGAATCTTATATAATCCCTAATAAAGATCTTATTCTCTCTTCAAAATCATCTCTTTATTTTACAATAGATGTGCGTTTAGGATCTAATAATCACAAAGCCTTTGCCTTAATAAATTTAGGAGCCTCAGCTTGTATTTTAGATAAAGAATTTGTTAAAAGACATAATATATAATTAGTACAAAAAACTAAACTTGTAGACGTAGAAGTCATAGACGGTCATCTATTATCTTTTAGAGATGTTACTCATGAAACACTTCCTATAGATGTAGTAATAAATGGTCATAATAGTCACGTAATTTTTAATATAATTAGATTTCCTTCTAATCCAGTCATTTTAGATTTATCATGGCTAAAAAAAGTATAATCCTATGATAGATTGGATTTCTCATAAACTTGACTTTTCTTCAAATATCATTAAGAGTTTTTCTAATCTAATAGAAAGCTATGAATCAAGTGTAGCCAAACTTGTACTTGTAGAAGCAAAAACTTTTTTACATGTTACAAAAAAATAATCATCTTTTGTTATTTATGCCACACCCATTTTAAATAATGGAAAGATTTCAAGTGAAATTCTAAGTCAATATGAAGATTTTAAAGATGTTTTTGAGAAGAAGAATGCAAATATTCTCTTGGAGCATTGTCTATATGATTACTCAATCAATCTTAAAGTAGAAATTCAGTCACCATTTTGTCCAATCTATAGTTTATCACAAAATAAGTTGATTGAACTCAAGAAATACATGGATGAGAACTTGGTTAAGAATTCCATATGCCATTTAAAATCTTTTAGAGGAGCTCCTATCTTATTTTTAAAAAAAAGAGATGGATCATTGCAAATGTATGCGGATTATCGAGGACTCAACAAGATTACTACCAAGAATAGATATCCTCTGCCTTTGATATCTAGACTTCTTGATCAATTAAATCAAGCTAAGATCTATATAAAAATAGATCTATAATGAGCACACAATTTGGTCTACATTAAAGAAGGAGATGAATAGAAGACTACATTTTGAACAAGGAATGGACACTTTGAATGCAATGTCATGTCTTTTAGACTCACGAATGCACTAGCTACTTTTCAACATCTTATGAATGATATTTTTTGTGAATTCTTACATGATTTTGTTGTCTATTACTTAGAGGACATTTTAATCTACTCTAAGAATCCAAAAGAACATGAAGTTCATATTTGTCATGTGTTACAAAAACTTAGAGATGTGGGATAATATGCTGTCGAGGTAGAGAGGTTTTGCCTCAAAAAAGCGCTGGGCTTTTGGCTGCCACTAAATCCTTAATCAAGTCTAAGATATAAAAATACCAAGTTTATATATATAATGTTTTTACTTTTTAGACAATTACATCCAAACATAAGCCCAAGTACCAAAAAAATATCCAAATGTATGATAAAGTATCTTAAAACCTTATATATTTTTATGAGAAATATTTTCCAAACTTTAACAGCTCATATCTCATGATTGGATTGTCTAAAAAATCCTAAATTTTACATGAAGTACTAATATACTTTAAAAAATGTCCACAATAAAATTCAACTGTAAATTTATTACGGATCTTGAGATATCATCAAAATCCTAACATTAGCTTTAAATCCTAGCTTACATATACCTGCATGCTAATTTCTTTATATCTCACAAAATAAATACTCAAATACTATGAAACTTTGATCTATAGCTTTTTAACTTAATAAATCACACTTATGAAAATTTTGAGCTAAAAATTCGTCCAAAAAC